GAGGGAAACTCAGCTATTTAACCTCTGGGATCGTTAGCTAGCATCGCTGATACCGCTGGTTGGTTAGTGCTCCTGGCTGTGGTAACGGCAGTCGTCGTGGTCGTTAGAGCCACCGTGGCCGAGACTGAACGACCGCCGTTGGTATCTTCACCTGAGGCCAATAAGTTACGTTTGTCGAGTTTCCTGGGAAGTGATGAAAGGACAGCATTGTAAGTGGGGGATAAGTGGTGGCGTAGACCCCCTCCTCTGTTCAATGACGGCTTCTCCACCCTGGTGTAGATGCTTCCTTGACACCTCTTTCAAACCATCCATCTTCTCTGTCTAAAATGTGCACCTGCTGGTCCTCAAACGAGTGTCCTCTGTCCTTCAGATGTAAGTAGACTGCAGAGTCTTGACCTGAGGAGTTGGCCCTTCTGTGTTGAGCCATGCGTTTGTGTCGTGGTTGTTTAGTCTCCCCAATATACAGGTCTGTGCATTCCTCACTGCATTGGACCGCATACACTAGATTGCTTTTCTTGTGTTTGGGTGTGCGGTCTTTGGGGTGGACCAGCATCTGTCTTAGTGTGTTCTTGGGTTTAAAAAACACAGGGATGTTATGTTTGTTGAAAATCCTCCTGAGTTTCTCTGATACTCCAGACACGTATGGAATCACAATGTTGTTGCGTTTGACCTTCTTCTCCTCGTCCCCTGTAGTTTTGTTCTTCTTCCTGGATTTTGTGGCTGTTTTTCACAAAGGTCCATTTAGGGTATCCACAGGCTGTAAGTACCCCCTTCAGGTGGTTCTGTTCCTTCTCTCTGGCTTTTGCACTTGTTGGTATGTTCTCCGCTCTGTGGTGCAGTGTTCTCATGACCCCTAGCTTGTGCTCCAGTGGTTGCTGGGAATCGAACAGTAAGTATTAATCTGACCTCAGAGAACCTTCTCAGACAACACTAGAGCTTCACATTAAAAGCATGGCTCTCAGTTGTTAGGGTTACGTCTCTTTAGATGATTACTGTCATTAAGTTAGATAACTACTTTACTTCATGTTGATGACTTGAACTGCTTACTCGGAACAAATTGGCCCCCCAGCTAACTTAAAGCAAATGTGATCCTGTCAGGAGATGTGAAGGTAACACTGACCCGTTCTCTCTGCTATGCTTTGGAGAGAGGCCTCACAATTAATGTAAATGTGGGGTTGTGGTGAGCTGCTGCATGATCGACCTACAAGAAAATGTCAGTTTCTAAAAACTACAAAAAAATTGAGGCTGGGCACAAAATATATGGGGCCCTGAATAATCGGCCCTAATGATGCAGCAGGTTCCATGTTGGTGCTCAACTGACATGTTGTTGGTTGCTGTTTCACCAGCCCGTTCTCATTCCCAGGGCGTGAAATACCTACGCTTTGTCACGTCTTTCGGCGTCTGGTACCTGCGCACATGGCAGCCTTTAGTGTCACATTTCAACATTTAAAGTAGGCCTAGTATAAATAACAGAAAAGTCTGAGTAAAGGAGCTGGGCAGGTGGGTCAGAAACTTTCCCGCAGGAGCCCAGTGTTTGTTTTCCATGTGAAACAAAAAGTCAACATCGATTTGTTTTTATGACTCCAACCATGATTTTCTTTACCTAAACCTAGCCAAGTAGTTTGGTGCCTAACCCTAACCGAACTACAACGTTTCACAACGTTAACCACTAGTTTTATTTTGAAAGGCTAACCACCCCCCCACCCCCTACTGGCGCTCATTTACTCCCTGAAACATACGTTCACATCATGTCCCTCGCTGCCGCTGCTCTGACCTCTTTGGTTTGACAAAAGCTTGTAGACAAACATGGAAATGACAAATTTAAATGAAGGCTTCATTAAACCTTCGCGCTGCATGGCACCTGCTGCATACGTGACGTGTGGGAGTCCTCATTAATGTTTTGCTATAGTGATGAAATATTCTTCTCTACCATCTGGCAGGCTGGTAAGTCATGCGTCAAAAGCAGCGGGGAGGGAAGCTGATAAAAAGTGCTGCTATAAGGGACTAATGTATAAATTCATTTGACAGTGATATCTATGTTAAGCAACTCCCAACAGAGGCTCGAGGTGTCTTTTACTTTTACGTCCCTCAGATGTCTGAAGTGGACCGACGGATGAGTGAGTGAAGATGCAGATAAAACCTCATTAAGCACATCATCTGATTATAAAAACATTTGTTATAGTCAGTAACTGCAGAATGTAGCAGTGAATAAAAATAAAAAAAGCCCAGAGGATGTGACACTGATCAGTGACGGTGGCAAAACATTTTGGAATACGGCTGCGACAAAGTTGGTGGCTAAAGGGGGAGGGGTGGTGATGGAGCAGTGGATAGACACATGCCTTTGGGGTGAGAGACCCGAGTTCAGTTCCCACTGTGACACATCTACCATTGTGTCCCTGAGCCGTGCGACCTCTGACATGTATAGCAACTGTAAGTCGCTTTGGATAAAAGCGTCAGATAAATGTAAAGACAGATGGATCGATTTCTTTAATCCCCTCGGGGAAATTCAGGTATCCAGGAGCTCAGACTGTGAGCATACAAACATAGATTAAAAGACAAAAACGGACGGTAGCGCTGATAAAAACAAACAAACTATAAATAAGATAATGAATTGAGGCGAGAGAGAAGAATCAAGAGACACCTCTGACGTGGTGCGCAGGACAGGTTCCTGTTTCATGATACCAACAAGTCGTTTTTCCTTTAGTAAATCAGGTGAAGGAGCTTTTATAATAATTAGAATAAACCAATCCTTCATTTTTGCACTCTCTGGCTGGCACTGCTTAAAAAACATATTCATCAGTTAGGGCGCTAAATGTTTTGATAAATTACTCTTACAGGCTTTTTTCATTTGGCGCTTGGCGGGTGTTCCTTTTGGACCCAGTCTGTGTGAGTTTTTCTGAAGTTAAAGGGAACAAATGTTGTTAAAGTGCCTCCGATCATCAGGAGCAGAGCACTGGGTTCGGTAGATGTGGGGCTCTACGCAGGGCCTGCACCACGAGGCGAGCTCGGTGGAAGATATCTGTGGGTTTAGCTCGGGGTTTCCGGTATCACAGCGCTGGCTTACTTTTAACCCGGGACAGATGTTAACGGTAACTCGCCACCCAGTACTCACTTGTTGATCTCTTACTTGATGCTTCTATGTTCCTCCAATGGAAGGCGCTGTGGATAATATCGTCTGCTAAGTGAGTGAATGTGACCCGTGATGCAGGACTAACTTGTCCCAGAGCAGCTTGACTTCAGAGGATCAGATACGAGATCTGTCGTGTCTGAGTCATCGCTAAGACGGGATACCGACTCAACGACAAAGTGACGAGTGCAACCAAGCAACGTTTTTGATCTATCAGTAAAATTTCTTTTCAGTGACCTTCATATATAGTTGTGTCGTCACAGCTGTCCACTCAGATGTAAAAGGAGGCAGATTCCCACACTGACACACTAATGAATGCTGATTATAGCTGCATTTTATGTTTTCTCACAGTCCCGAGGACACTTTCATTCTCTTATTCTGTGATTGCAGTCCAGGATAACACTTTGTGAGTGTTAAACCTTTTTAGACTGAACATGATAAAAAAAAAAAATACCATTAGAAGATAAAAATCTGTATTGTAGTTTTTACCTCTGTCTTATATTGCTTTTATTCCCGTTTATTCATCATGTGACAAAAAGCATCAAGATGTCTCTATTATTAATGCAATTTTTTTTATACTAAGACACCAACAGAAGGCCTATTTAGAAATGAACTTTTAAACACTGTGGGACAGTCAAATTCAAACAACAAAAGTCCTAAAATAATTCAACTTAAACAGGATCCAAAAATAAAGTTAAACCCCCCCTCCCTCCTTCAGCCAGTTGGCATCTTCCACATCCTGCTAGACCGACTATAAGCGGCCATTTTAGCTGCTGTCACATGTTTGTCCACCTGCAGACATGTGAAAAGAGAGCAAAGGTAAACTCAGTTAAATCAGCAGACTAAAGCAAGAGTTAAATTCCGCTGTGTGTTCTTAAATAAGCAAACAAGTTGTCATGTCAAATTGAAATGTGTTTTCATAACTGTGCTGAAAACACACCAGTTTATGGAGTCGATCTTTAGGGAAGTCATTTGAATTATTCAAGGTTGAATAATTCAAATGTCTGTGCTGCTCTTATGACGCAAGTCTTTTGCATTTAAACAAAAAATGTGGTGTTTTTGTACTGAACTTTGTTTGGGCAGGTTGTCTCGTTCTGCAGCTGTGTGGTTGTGATGTTTGAAAACTGCCATTGTTAGTTCAGTGTTAGCATTTGTTTTTTTGTGTGATCTGGCGCCCCTACCGTTTCAGAGTGTAACTCACCGCTGTCGTAAACAAGGACAGCTGTGCACGTGCATTTCCTTTTGATTACAACTTGCCAACTTTGCTAACAGCCAAACATCCAGTAGGTGTGACAACACAAGAAGAGACGGCCAGCTCGCCGTCTGTCCTGCAGCCTTTTATTTTACAAAGCTCTCGCCAACGTCCGGCAGCTTCTTGCTCTGTCTGTCTCTCTTTTACTCTTCTTACCGTCCTCCGTCAGAGTCCCCTTTGGTCTCTTCACCTCTGCCTTTAGCTAACATTACGTCCACGGAGGCTGCTGAGCCCGGTTATGTTGCCCGTAAGTAACTTCAGATTTATAACTGGGCCTAGCGGCTACACGTCCGTCTGTGAAACCTCTGGCTGAGTTTGACAGCTTTGCAAACACAGATGTCTTATTCTGTGTCTTCGCAGCCTCTGCCGCAAGATCGTAATCATTTCTTGAATCATATTTACACTGCAAAAACTAAAATCTCAGTAAGAATAATTATCTTAATTGAAGGCATAATATACTTGTTTTTTGTCTGACAAGATATTTCTTCTTACCAGGCGGCTTTTAATGTTAAAGAATTTAAGTTTTTTCATGTTTATTTTTCCTTAAGTAGCAAGTGAAATGTTCTTGTTCGGTTGGCAGATAATTTTGCTTATTTTAAGTAATATTTCCCACATTTTTTTCTTGTTTTTGAGAGCTCAGTTGTAGCACTGTATCAACTCCTTCATTATAAATCTCTTTCTTCAGAAGGTGAGTCGGAGCGATCGAAGTTGTGATCCTGAAGGACTTGACGCTCTGACAGATGAACACCCAGACTCGTATCACTGAAGTTTTTTCTGTGACAGTCCAACCAACAGTCCAGTCCTTCAGTTATGACCTGCGCTCACGACAACGAGCGTAATGAGCAGCACGAGTGCTCTGAAGATGTGTGTTGCTCTCAGACTACAGACAGGCTTCCCTGCCTTATTAGTGGAGGTTGTTGAAGCTGCATGCAGCCGGAAAGGTATTGAAATCACAGTATTTATTCTGTTTGTGCTCCTTTCCTGCTCTCTGAACATCCTGTACTGAATGTTCTGAAACCTAAACATGCAGCAGAGTCACAGTGAACATTGTAAGTACACACTTGATGTGTGCAGCTGCAGTAATATTATATTAGTCAAACGCAGTTTCCAGCAGTCATGTAATGTGTGCTTATTTACGTCGGGAGTTTCCCACAGCAGCAGTCCCAACTCAGATACCACCAACCTGCATCTATTGTGCCTTTACGCCGCAGGAGAACAGCTGCGGTGACCTTTAACTCCACCAGTGAGATTACATCTAAACCTCTACATCCCGCCTCTCAGAAAGTCTCCAGCACCACTCGCAGCAGATCATACTGATGCTCATAAATGGTGCTTCGTCAAGTTTGCTGCTGCTGTGATAGTGATACGTCTGACAATCAATCTTTTTGCTGTTTGCCGCCTTTTTATTTTTCAGTTTAACACGAGGATTTTAAAGTCTGCCCTCCTTCTGACATCATTTATTTACCCTGTTTGTGTTTACATGTTGGCAAGTTGGAGCTGAATCAGCTGTTAGCAGTGTACTCTTGGATGGAGAGATTACTGTCACTGTTTTACTTTGACACTGAAGAAAACATGAAGATTCTCAGGCAGGTTCTGCAGGAATGAGTCTTTTTATTATTATTATTATTCTATGGTTTCTACACTGATTTCTGGACGTTTATTTGCAATGGACAGGAATCTTACCATTTGATGTTGTTGCACCAGAGATAGCTGAAATCTCATTTTAATTAATCATAAAATTACTATTACCACACATGTTATAAAGTAAAAGTACGGGTTTTTGTTTTCAAATCAAAACCAATAAAAGGAAACTTCCCAGTTTGGCTTTAAAGCAACCGATAGAACACTTCTTAAAATGCAGCAGCCGCCACCGAGACACATAATGACCATCAATACCAAACACAACAGCTTTGGCTCTCAGCTGTTCGTACGCTGCTCGAAAACACTTTTTGCCGAGTTAAAACGGGAAGTTGCAAGCTGGTGAGGACGCATGGATTGTTACCATCTGCAGGTTTATCAGAGGAGACCTGCAGGAATATGAATGAAGCCACTTCGGCCTCTCAGTGTTAACATTTGCTCAGTCTGTTATCTTCCACTTGACCTCCTTTTGGCGTCGGGCTGCTGTCGTTGCTGTGTGGGCTGTTTGCCTCCTCGCACAGACACCAAGCGTTTTCACCACCTGTAATCTCTACGCTGACTGTAGCCATGAAAGGCAGGCAGAAGGTGAATGAATAATTTAGCTGTGGTGGGCTGTGTGGCCACCCAGCGCTGCCCCAGTGGGCAGCCAGCGGTGTGGGGTTGGTTGGGCTGAGGGAGATCAGATTAGCTTTGAAAGCCGCTGTCCTTTTGTGGAAACCGCCAGGAACAGTCAGAGCTCTCCTGACATCGTCGGGCGGATTCATTTTTCTGAGTGTCAGGATGAAACGGATGAATGTGTGAGCATGCAGGGCTTGGACGCTCACGGCCCCTCAGAGAACATTAGCGTCACCACCTGATTCCTTTTCAAATTATTATCATAACTATGGACACTCGATTCTGATTAATTCACCACAGATCTTCTTCATCCTCGCTCATCTTCCGTTTCATGGCTAAAGTGAGAGGAGTCTCTGTCCTGGAGCGGCGTCTCTGGGGACTCGTCTCATCTGTAGCCATCGTTGGTTTCCCTTCAGTATAAAAGGTGAACGTCAGCTCACCTGTGTTTAGTACCCGAGACGTTACTGTTAACGTTAGCTGGATCTGGGGCGTCGTTGTAGCTGGGAGAGTGCTGCACGTTGAACACGGTGAAGCGTTCCTTCAGTTTCACGCCGTGTTGAAGGAAATGCTTCGGCACGCTTCCTCCCTCGCACCAAACCTCCTATTATAAAAATATGAATTCCAGCTGCTTTAAGTGTTTTTCTCTGTCTGTCTTCTGTCAGTAATTGAGTCTTAAAAAAGAAGACTTTGCAGTGAGAATATTAAAACCTGTTTAATTGCAAGGCGCCGTCAGAAATGGAGTTATGAAGATGCTGATTTTAGGAACGGGCTGAAATATTCCTCCTAGTTCTCACTTTTTAAAAGAAAATCAATCTGTGTCTCAATTTCTGTCAAATCCCTCGGTGAAATGGAGATTTATTTCATGGTGTATGATTTTCCTTTTGTGTCGTATTCTGGTTTTCTATCATTTCTGCAGCTGCATTTGTTCTTGTCAACTTAAGAACAGTACTTGGGTAAATGTAGTAACTGAAAATGTGGGAGCAGAAATTATCCCCGCAGTCTTTACAGTATTTCAAAAGTTAGCGGGTTCTGACCCTTGTAAGGCTGATTGTGTTTCTTTCTGTTTCGCTGCGAGACATAGAAGTTTGGGAAAGCGCTGTACAAACAAAGCTTGAACTTCTCATTATTTTTTTCCCAGTGTGCCCCTCTGCTGCCTCCAACTGGGGGACTCTTCACTGGGTGTTGTGGGCGAGAAAAATGGAGAGGGTTTTAATCTTGAAAGAACCAAACATGCGGCCTGAAGCAATAAAAAATAAATAAATCGTTTTCAGGCTGCAGCAGGAGAAAGTGATGACCCCACATAAACCACTGCCTCCACAGAAACTTAGACGACACTATTGTGCTCACAGTCTCGCTCTCTTCAGCGTTAACAACAGTGTGAAGACAGTAAAACAGCAAAGCACTGTTCAGATGAGCAAAAAGGAGTTGTGGAGTGAAGAGTCTTTATCAAGCGAAGGTAGGAGAGCTCCAGTCATTCACTTTGTCAGGAAGATAACAAGCCGGAGTCGTTTGCCGGAGCAAAGTGCCAGATGCTTCAGACAGGAGACACATCCTCCATATTAAGCGTGGGACATTCGTCTTGTCTGAAGTCTCCCGTCTGGTCCTAAAAGAGAGAACAGCCCATCCATTCGCCGTTCACACGGTTCAGAAATGGAGAAGGGAGCCGGCTCTCAGTTCAGACTCAAAACACATCTGCTGGTTGTGCTCACCGTCCAGTTTGCTGATTTTTATTTGATTTCCAGAACCAGGATCTCAAGAACAGCTGTAGTTCAGCTCATGAGGTCCGCTCCAAACGGACATTTCCTCTGGTCCAGATCTAGTTCACACTGACTTTATACAAACACGCCAAGAGCTGTAAACACGATGTCGTCCATGATTTTTTTTCTTTTTTTTTTGTGTGTAAACTAAATTTTTTTCCATTTGGCTTCTGTTTTCTATTAATGTAATTTCCAGAAAATTTAAATGATCAAAATCAGTTTAGTTCATTACTCCTCCATCAGAGATGTTCCCCAGCTTCTTTGGAGCAACATAATGGGTTTCGAGTTGTGGAAAATGTCACTGGAAGAAAATTACTTGTGGTTGACGTGGTGGAAAACAGGAAGGAGCGTTACTTGTGGTTCACTTAAGTGCATGCGGCCGTGCGGTGACTGACAGGTACGATCCACTTAAAGCCAGGACAAAAAGTGAGAATGGATTTGTTATATTTTTATTTTTTTTCCTGGCCGGAGCACGAGTCGGCGCTGCCCTCTCTCCAGCCTCGGCATTTAATGTGCGCGCACTCCAGCGGTTCATCGATGCCCCTCCTCTGGGTTTCAGAGCTGGTAAATGTTAAAAGGGGTGTACCGATGTGACAGTTGGCGAATCGGACTTGTTCTGACGTGAGCCTGTGACTGCAGGTCACCGGTTCAAATCCTCAAAACAGCTGGGGGAGGCGGATGTGTACTGGAGTCACGCAGGGGAACAGAAATGAATAAATCTCTATTACTGAACGAGTCTTGTTTCCCCACCGACAGCTGGACAGAAATGGACGTAGAAACGCTCCTAAGCTACCGTTTCTATCTTGTCTGCTCATTTCAAACACTTAAGTTTGGCAGTGATATCTCACTCATTATTAATGTTGGGTTATAGCACCTTTATCGAAACAAAGGGAGGTTTACTGAGGATCTACAGCACATTTTTAGGCACTAAATGGTGAAATTGCATTTGTTTTGATTTACTAATCACTGCACCACAACAGCTGAAAACAGGAAGGAGGAATTAAAGGAATTAAAATGTACACTATAAATACCAAATCAGAAATCTCCCTCACTGATTTATAATAACTCCAAAAGTGTCTTTTCTTCAACAAATATTCTTCGTTCAGCAGCAGAAAACACGATGGTTTGTGCTCCACTGCTCTGCAGATGCGTCCAGTCCAGCATTAGATTATCTTAGAAGCACTTCAGCAATTTGCAAATCAGAAGCTGCTCAGCTCACCTGTGTACCTGTATTTTAATTACTGTTTGATCAATTTTATAATTCTTTTTATTAAGTTTATTTGAGATTAATCACTTCACAGAAAATCTAAACCAGCCATCATTTTATTATTAGATTCTGCATCTCCCGTTGCATCACGCTCACGTTGCTCTTAGTCTAGAAAAAAATGTAGCACTGGTCTGAAGTCTGCATGAGGTGCCCACATTTTCAACACAAGTTCTGCTTTTAAACGCCAGTCCATGTGCAGGAAAAGGTGTGTAGGCAGTGTTTCACCATCCAACCCCATGTCTCACTATTAAACCCTGAAGGCGTGTCGATGTGAGTGTTTAAGAATGTGAATGTTGAGCAGGACTCAGCTGAAAATGCCACATTTTGGGGGGGGAAGAATAAACGGCAGATCTTTTAGACGCCACAGAAGCTTGAATATGCTGACGGCGGGTAATTGGCCACAGATAAAGTGTTACACAGGTGACAGCAGCTGAGATTATCCTGGGGACTCCTGATACATCGCCGGCAACCAAAGTGGACAGCCGGACGGCGTCGACTGTGTTTTTCACGGTCGAGAGGTGGCAGAGGCCGGGTCATAAATATCAAACGTGTGCGATGGCGTCGGGCCGGCTCGGATCAGTCTGGTAAGATTGGATCCGTAAACCTCTCACCATTGCAGGTAATTTATTCTAACCATCAACGCGAGAGCGGCAAGGGGGAGCCCTGCTCCGACTGTCAGGTGTGGAGAGTCGACCATCTGTAGAATCAGGATTTCTACCAGCAACGGCCTTACAGAGGGAGATTTCAATGAAGCAGCGAGCCATTTTTACACACGCGACCGAAGAAAGTCGCAAAGTGAGCCTGCCAGCTCCTGCTAATGACTCCTGCTGCGCCCCAATCCTCCAGACTACCACTGTCGATTATGCTCGCCGGCTCAGAGAGAGAGAGAGATGGAGAAAGAGATGGACGACCGGCAGTTTAATGGCTGCAGCTTGAAACGTGTGTTTGTGAGAGACAGAAACTTCAGATCAATAACGTGACAAAGGAAGTGATGCCTCTGAGAAGCTACAGTGATGTAGTGCTGGTGGTGTTGATGGTGTGTGGAGGCACATTTTACATTGCAGGGGAGGTGTTTTACACTTCGGTGTGTGTTTCCAGGTGTTCTGCTGCACGTGTGAAACACCTGGCGCCAAAACAATAAGTTATTTCATTGATGAACTATTGTGATTGGGTTAATCATTCAAGTCTTTTTCTCAAACTAACTTCTCCACAGGTCCACCTTCTCAGGTGTGAGGATAGGGTTGAGCGAGTACTCAGCTGAAACGAGTATCCAGTACAGATAATGTACTTTTTACGATTTATCATTGGAGTAA